TTCTAATTAGTTTCTAAATAATGATTTTTATTGAAACTTGAAATTTTTTGATAAAAATTGTTGTCAAAAAACTTTTTTTGCTAAAATAAATTTCATAAAATTATGAGGCTTATGTTCATTTTAATTTTTGAAGTAATATGATTCTTAAAACTATGGAATGTAAAGTTCAAATGGGCCTTTCATGTTATATCATTAAATTTAGTAATACTATTTCTCGGGCATTAGGTTTTAACTCTTATGAGAATATGCATATTTTTTTCTGTTAATGTACAAATATTTTTCCGATGTGATATTCCTATTCCTTCTCTAATAAAAAGAGATACCATTTTGTTTTCGGTTGTACAAGAAAGAAGATCAAGCATTTTTCTTTTTTAAATTTAATAAGCCACATTAAAGAAGGAACGTTGCAATGCTACACGCTACATTAACGACGTCTCCAGAGTAACTGAATGACGGTTCATATAGAAATCGCAGGTATGCGTCTCATACAACAACGCCCCCTATAGTTCGTTGCGATCGCGAATTATGTTTCGATTCAGATAATTAAAGTTAAACAAAATTTAATTAGAACCTTTCGCTTCGCAAAAATATAATTCATTAATCAACGCTCAAGCACGATTGCTGGAAAATGCATAAAATTTGAAATTTGAAAATAAAATTTATAATGTTTACAAATTTATAGGAAATGTTATCGCATGAACTGTTTATGAGTTTGTATGGATAATCAAGTGCTTATGCTATTCAAGGTGGAAACTAAACTGTTTGAAGTTTGAAATACTCCATTTTGAATTATCAGTGCATGTAAAAATACCACGTTTTTCGCATCTGGAGAAACGAAATGAATATTATCTAAAAAAGGAATCATTATCTAATGCAACTGAAAAATTATTTAATAAGATGCATAAAAAACAACGTTATATAATTTCAAGCGATTAGATGAACGCGAATAAATGAAAACGTGTATCTTTTTCAGCAAATATTTAAAATTTTATCGTACAAATATATTGATAGTGATTTTTGATTGCAGCGGTGGCAAATATTTGCCAAAATACAGCGGTACCTATAAATAATTTTTAAATTATTTTATTTTTCTTTCTTTATTATTGAAAGATCGGGATAACCTGGTCAGTAGGGCTCTGAGCCCATGTCCGAGAGTTCCCGCCGGCCGAAGACTCCTCGTGTAGTAAAGTGACTGATGCACGTTAAACCTGTCGAGTCGCAAAATTCCTCAATGTTCCCATAACAAATCAATACCTCTGGGGGTACTGGATTGGACATCGATCGTTATC